CGTCTGCAGTAATCGATTCACGACACACTCCGCAAATCCCACGGGTCACACGCTGGGACCAAGATCTTAAACAACCGGTACAGATCTTCCGCTGAAATACCGCTTCAGTCAGATGAACACACATGGCTTTTTAGTTTCCCAGACTCCACTGGATCGATACCCAGCATCCTCTACGTTCCCAGGGTTACTTCTCTAAAAGCGGTAGCACCCCTTTTTCCATACCTAAGTCTAACAGGTGCATTTCCACCCGGCCACATAGGCACAGCTGGCACCGAGGTTCTGCTGCAGGTGTGTTTTTTTAAAAACATAATCAACAACTTCATTATTTTAGCAGAGGGTGTTTGGCTGACGCGTTCAATATCTATCATGGACCCGAATGGCAAAACTTTCCAGCCCTGGAAAGATTATATGGGACTGTCGGACACGATCAGAAAGATCCTGGGACCGAACACTGCCACTCAGTTCCCGATGCTAGCCTCTACGAAACATCTCCCCGATGAATATTCACGGCCAGGTTACGCACCAGAATTAGACCGTTCTGATGCACCAAATACGGCGGATTTTAAACTTATGCCAAGATCCACGGGCCCCCGGGGGCCAACAGACAGCAAGAAAAGACGTGAGCCGCCAGAATTACATCCATCATCTGAGCGCATGTTGTGCACTTTCTGTAAGCGCAACGGGGAGTCCGAGTTGGTGTACGGATCCCACTGGCTGAAGAGCCAGACAGGAGAGGTTTTGTGCCCGTATTTATGGCAGTACGTGTGCCCCCTCTGCGGGGCTACGGGGGCCAAGGCCCACACCAAGCGCTTCTGTCCAAAAGTGGACCACGCATACAGCTGCGTCTACGTCAATTCCGGACGCTGATGCAACAGGTGGCAAGCTAGCAATAAGACACTGGGCTGAAGGCTGAATCCTTTTGTGTGTGATATTTGTTTAGTATTGGTGTGTTTTTACTTTGCTGGACTTTTTGTTGGTCAACAGCGTCTGTTTGGTGCTGGGTTTTTGCAAACTACTTTCAAGAATGACTGCCAGATATTATGTTTGGGAGAAGAACACCTGTTTATTTTACATATTTTTAAATGTCAATGATGTCCAGATTCGAACATTATCACAAAACTACCCACAGTCAAAAAACATCTATGTGAAACTTTTTGTGAACTTTGTTATTATGCATGTCTAACCTGACTAAATCT